ATTCAGATCAATGCCGATGTCTTCTAACGCTTGTCTCTCTCTTCCTCCCCACCCAATGTGTGAAACCGCGGAATGACATCACATCCAAAAACAAATTCTGAAATTGCCCGCCAGAGTCTGCAAACCAAACACCGATTTTGCTAGTCATTCAGGCGCGTTTTCGCGCAGCGTACCAATCCATGAAGAACTCGCAATGGCTTTATCTCCGGTGATCGAGGCCGCCAGCAAGATCCGCCTCCAGGCCACCTCCCTGACCGCCGTACTCTTGAGGTCGAGGGTCCGAAGAGCTCCATCCTTGGTTACCTCCGGTAGGAATTGGCACTTGACCGCCACCCTGCTGTCCAGCAGCCTGCGTGCCGGCCTGGGTAGCTCCGGGCACGGTGCGAACCAGCTGGCGGAAGCGGTAGACCTCATCCAGGATCATCTTGCGCATGTCGCCAACATCCTCAACGACCTCAAAGTCGAAGTTGAAAGTCGTGGGGCAGTCGGGCTCGTCGGAGGCATCGTGCCAGATGTGCAGGTAGGGGTGCTCAAGGGCTTGCTCGACGCTGATACGGCTTGAGGGGTCAAAGGCAAGCATGCGGTCGAGGAGGTCGAGGGCATCAGGGTTGGCCTGAGGGAACAGGCTGGGGAAGGTTTTCTTGGGCATGAAAGGAAGATTGCGGACGTATTCCTGGGCGCGGGGCGAGCCGATGCGCGACAGAGTCTCTTCGTTGGGGGTTCCAAGAATGTGCAGGATCTGATTCAGCTGGTCGACGTAGTCGCGACCCTTGAAGAAGGGGCGGCCTCCGAGAAGCTCAGCCAAAATGCAGCCGACGGACCAAACATCAACTATCGCGTGGTTAGCTTCTCACCCAACTACGATTATGCGACGCCTTCTGGGATACGTACTAGCTTTGGTGTAGCTTTGGAAGCTCAGCATGATCTCGGGAGCGCGGTACCATCTGGTAGCAACGTATTCCGTCATGTAACCGGCATTCTCCTCAGGATCAACTGAGAAACCGCGCGCCAGACCGAAATCGCAAATCTTGAGCTCGCAATCGGCGTTGACGAGCAGGTTACCGGGCTTCAGATCGCGGTGCAGGACATTGGCGGAGTGGATGTACTTGAGACCGCAGAGGATCTGGTAGATGAAGGACTGGAAGTGGGCGTCGGTCAGCGGTTGGCCGGATCGGATGATAGCTGCCAAATCGCATTCCATGAGCTCTGTAGCACAACAGATGAGTTAGCACAGCTGGATTTGGTCGGGGCGGCGGATGCACGCGATAGAAAGCGTACCCTCGTAAAGATATGTCTCGTTGAAGTTATCGGGTCGGGGAATGTCCATATCGTAGAGGCAGGTGATCTGTCACAGCAGGCAGTCAGCATCATTTTCTGGTGTGGGCGGTGGTGCAGCCGCGTGGCGATGAGGCTGCGCGGGGTTCTTGGGACAGCTTCAAAAGCGGGCAGAGTGGAAGACTCACGTTGCGGTGTCCCCTGAAGTGCTGGAGCAGCTTGATTTCGCGCAAGGCGCGCTTGGCCAGGATCTTCTTGCTAAAGACATTTGTGACCTTCTTGATGGCGACGCCCTCTTGGGTCTGGTTGTTCACGGCGGCGCTGCGTGAGGGGAGTATTCGTCAGCTTCTTGGCCAAATGGCGGGGCAGCGGTGGTGGCAGCAGCATCAGCATCAGCACCAGCAGCGCAGAGAGCGACAGCCGATGGGATGAGGGGAAGAGCAGGTCAAAGGTCGCACGCACCAGACAATGCCGTAAGCTCCCTGACCGAGCTCCTTGGTTACGGTGTATCGCTCGTCGACGATAAAGTCCTGGTTGAAGACCTTGAAGACCTTGCGTCCTTGCAAATCAGCCATGTTTGCGAGGTTTGTGTGTGTTGTTCGTTTGGGGGAGGCTTTCGAGTTGGTGTTGGGGTTGGAGCTGTTGTTTTTTCGAGCTTGGAGGTTTGGCGTGTCGGGCTTGTCGAGGAAATCGAGGGGTATCTTTGGCGAGTCAATCGAGGCAAAGGTGGGGAAGCAAGCAAGGAATGCGATGCGATGCGACAGTTGCGGAACAGACAGGGTAGCGGGATCAACCGAAAAAGAACAGCTCGTCCAAGCAACAGGAACAGCAGCAGCAGTAACAACGCTCGATGAGTGGGCGAGGGGAAAGCAGGCCGTATTATAAAGGCGGGCAGAGTGGCGTCTGGTGTTTTCTTCGGAATGTTTCCTCGGTGAAATAAGCTGGATGACGATACGGTGTCGCCGGAACAATTCTCGTCTTTGTCCCGCAGTGGAAGGGTGAGTTGGGATGAGATGTGTAAGGAAGAAAGACAAGAGGAAAGGAGTAGAGGGAGGAAAGTCCAAAGATATTGTGCGATTCCTCAGGTACCTTAAGGTAAGGAAGGTATGGTCAGGTCAGGTAGGTAATGGGCAGGAGCACAAGATAAAGTAGAGGTACCACACCACGCAGTGTACCTTACGTGTTAGGATAGGACGACGGGGGAAATGGCCCTTGAGAGGAATTGGGGAGGGGATGATGGGACTGGACGGGATCAAATTGTATGGCTAGACCGGGAGACAGCGCCTTATGGGATGGAGCATTCGCAGTTTGAGGCAAGAAAAGGCGATAAAATGGTCAAAGGCACGAGCCGAGGGGGAGGGTTCCATTTGGGAGGGACTGCCATGAACCTGACATTTGCATAGTGGACTGGACTGGACCTGACCTCCTGGGCCCTGAACAGGGACGAAAAGCAACAAGGAAGAGGCAGATGGAAAGGGGAGGGGCAAGGCAAGCAAGCTGCTGCATTGGCACACTCCATTTCATTGAGGACATGTGGGATCTGTGGGCTGGCTTGATATGCGGTTTGTGACTGGACACTGGATGCTTGAGTTTTGATACCTGAAGATGATGGATGGGACTTGGTCCCAAGGCTGAGTGCGGTGAAGTATTGGTAGACTGCGAATAGTAAGGAACCTTGGGCAACAGATGTTTGGATGTACCCGTACTTCTTCTTGCTACCTTGTTCAGATTGATGATAGGACATTAGCAGGAGAATGAGTGGAAGAGAGGGGTGAGAGGGGCACCAGTAAGGTACGGAGCAAGGTACTGTGTACTATGTAGGTAGTGGGCTGGAGCTCCCCCCGTTCCATCCTCTTGTGTCTCTGCCTTACGAGGTAGCCCCGGGCCATGTCACAGAACTCAATGTACTGGTGCAACTGTAGTACCTGGTGCCTAGGTAGCTCCTGGAATAAAGTAGTTGACTACCTATCTTAAAGCGAGTCTACTCAGCCCCAGAGTCAAGCAAAATGGGTACCTACCTCACGAGCTCGAGGTTATGAGCCTTCTGCGTACCTAGAAACATGGGAAAATCGCAAGGTACAAGGTACAAACTGCTGACGTTAGGCCGGAAGCGACTTGGCGTGTAGAGACGTAGGGGCCCACATCATGATCCCCGGTCCCGCACTTGATTTGCTGGCTGGGTCTTTGTGAGAGCCCTCATTGGCTAACTGCTCAGATGAAAGGCTCCATTTACCTCGGGCCAGTAACCGCTGAGCATCGTGACTGGACTTTGGGAGATGCAGCTTTCTGCAACCGCGCGACAAATCATCACCATGGATCGAACAGACCACCCTCACTCAAATTCCCGGTTGAGGATTGAATATGGGTCCAAGGCTCCCTCCTTTTTACACGAGCAGGAACAACCTCATTTTCGCAACTATATGCAGCATGAGCACCTACACCAATGACCAGCTCTAACACCTCAATCAAGATTCTGCAATGGGGACGAGAGTTTGGGATACGAACACCGCAATCTCTCTGCTTGAAGCCGCATCCTAACACAAAAGGACAAAGTTTGCACCTTGGAGTGTGGCAGCTCGGCGCCGCCTGAAGATTTGGACCTTCAAAGTGAGACACTTTTCGACTGTCAGACCCTTAGCCTGGCCCGCATTTAGCCCAGATGCGAGCACCGTCAAACCCTACTTCGAGGTGAAAGCCGATTCAGCCGCGCCTCATCCACGATCGTATAGGTCAGCACGAGATGAACCAAGCAGTTGCAACCAAGGCAGGCTGCTAGGTAGAAATGTGTACTTTAGACTACACCTCTCTCGGTCAGAATGCACCACTACATTATCATGTAAGCTTAGATGCGTCAGCATCAGTATTTTTCATTCGCAGGATCCCGAAATATCGCACCTCACCCAACACCACAGCCCTCGAGGGATCTGCCGTAAGCAGTTTTTCCGCCGTCTCTGGCGCAGTCATCCTCGACAGCGTAGGATAAGCTGCTCCTTCCATTATTGGGCAGCACTACCATAGCAGCCTAGGCACCTTGACAGCACCTATACGTGTGCTCTGGACAGATAGGACTCAAGAAGAGCCTCTGAGCTCAACCACGAGCATCTGTCGAGACAGTACTCCGTACGTCGTACGGATACACAAATCGTTCCCTCGGCCTAGTGCTTTCTAATCTTCGTCTGTGATGCCAAGGCTCAAAAAGCTGCCGCCGCCGTCAAAGATGCTAGCTTGCGCGTAGCCGACATCCCGAATCCATCTCGCTTAGGCACCTCGACCCGTCGAGCTGTCTTCAACGGCGTCTACGGCTCCATCCTCATCTGTCCGTCTTGCCGTTGTCCTGCACTTTGCACCTGCATTGGCTGGCAACTGCATGGAATCTAATCTTCTATATGCATCTTGTAGCTGTGGAATCAATCAAACCAAAGACACGCTTAAATGCTCATCCTTTCTCTGCCTTTCCTTCTTTGATAACGCAGCAAAGTCACTTGGGCAGCGCGGCAAGTGCTGTTCTTCATGGCCTGCCCGCCTCTCTTGCCCCTGTCCTGACGCCTTGTCGTGGACGAGATGATCGTCAACGACGAGTCCTTATTTGGCACCCAGCCAGTGAGATCTCTGCTGTAACGCGTGTCGCCGCCCCCAAGTCGTGTTTCGCGGCGCGTCGCCGACCGTTTGTCCTGACCTTCTGACCTCAATGCTCTCTCCGCCTTGGTCGCAAGCTCACGATCCTTCTATGCTTTCGGGTCGACATTGGGGAAGACGTGCTTCAAAAAGTTGGTCGAGAACCGTGTGCACTGCTCGTAGGCCTTTGCAAAGCCCTCGTCGCCACCGTAGTATGGGTCGTTCACCACCTCCGACCTCGGTCCTCCTGAAAATTCGCCAAACAGCATCACCTTGGCCTTTGAATCGGTATGGCCTCGTTGTTGTAGGTTTTGGAGGTCTCGTAGGTTGGATCGGTCCATGGCGAAGACGTAGTCGAACTTGTTGAAGTCTGAGGGCGACACCTGCACATTGTGGAAGCGTGGCGGTCAGCAAGTCTGTTCTCTCTTCGAATCCGCCCGGGCGCACCTAGGGAGAGGGAACACCATCATACCTTGCGACCGGCGTGGTAGTAATCCGTTATGCCATGGTCTTCGAGCGTCGCCATGGTCCTGTCATCTGGAGGATCGCCAACATGGTAGGCCGCTATTGTTGCGCAGAAAACCACGTCAGCTTTGCTCTGCGCACGAGAATTGGGAGAGAAATTGGGTTCATCATGACGTATCCGCCATATTTCGTACCTGTGCCGCAAGAATCCACCTTTGAGATGAGGCCCTTGTACTGAGGCTTTTGCGCAAAGTTGCGAAAGACGCCTTCTGCCATTGTCGAACGGCAAATGTTGCCGAGGCATACAAAGAGGACTGATACCGGTTGTTCCGTCATGATTTCTTTGCGGTTACTTGGGTGCAATGTGATGTGAAGGAGAGTGGAAGTTGTCGCGCCTTTAGCCAAGGTGTACTTTGTTCAGGTCCGACTGCCCCGCGGCCGCCAATCTAGGATGGAGGGGCACTGGCGTACTGTATCTGAGTAATCAGACCTCGCACGGCAGGCACTGTAGGTGGGTCCGCCATTTCGTCACCGACATCTTCGCGGAGCCAGCGATTCCGGCTTATCATCAAGCACCTCTCCAATCCCGACTTACATATATATCGCTCGCTACCAGACTTCGCATGCTTTGCTTTGCGCTTCTAGCAAAGTTAACTTCACACTTATCTGCAAGGAAAGACTAAAAGAGTCTGGCAGCTCGCCGTCGGCCAACTTTATGCTTTCAGAACCCTAGCACGATATTATCCGATGTTACCCACGCGAAGGTGGACAAGAATCGTGGCACCACTGGGAAAGGTTTTCACATATCACAGATTGCAGTGGCTCTGTGCTTCGACAGCTATACCGCAAGAACAGAGTTGGGATAGCTTCAATTCGAGAGCCGGACTCTGCAATCTACGGTCGAACCAGCCAGAAGGCAAGGCGCCCGCGTTGGCCGTGCCCTCGTCTCAGTTATTGAGTTCGATTCATCGTTCAGCTTGCGTGGCTACAATCGAATATGAAAACGGTGACCACTTCAAGTGGGTGTCGAGAACAGAGCCAAACGTCCACGGCCGCTGTGAGGGTGACTGGCGAGGAACGAATCAACGTGCCACGTGCTAACGGCCTCGGATTTGATACCTAATCTTGCCGCCAATCTTCTGCCCGGCACTCCGTTTTCATTCCTATGCTCTACGATCGCTGAGCAACCCATCGGTTCCCGCACCTGCCAAGCTCACGAGAGAATTCAAACTGCTACTCGGATTGGGGCAAGTAAGGAACGGGGACGGGAGTGTATGGAGCAACGATCAGCTTGAGACTGTCGCTACAGTTTGACACTTGCCAATCCTCCTGAGCATGAGGAGTATCGAGGCCTGGAACGACCAATTACTTGCCCATCTGGTGTCATATCTCCGAGTCACGTTTCCTACAAGCGCACGGCAACATGAGAGAATCCGCATGGCGCCTTCCACTCGCCACCAGGATGAAGGCTTTTCCCAGCTGGAGGTTGAACGGCATACTATCAGGGGAAGAAACTGCTCAAGGCAGACACCGCTCAGACAAACACAATAAAGCTAGCGGCTCACAATGCGCGAATGTCTGCCAGGAGTTAGTCGTTCCATGCTGGTCGACTGGTGGATAAGAGTGTGCATCCAGAGTCTGTGAGACTTACGAAAAGGATGGGGAAACCAATTTCGCATAGCCAATAGACCCGGAACGCACGGTCTCGGCCATCCGGTTGATAGCTCCGCCTCCGAGATCACCATGCCAGTCGTTCTTCAAGGCTGATCATGCTTGACTCAGGATCCCCCAATCTTGCGTTCGTGGTCTAGCCATTTGTCTCCAGGAAGGGCCACTGTCCCGATAGCTGAAAAGTGCGACTGGACGGGATGATTTGCAGAGTCTGGCGAGCAATCGTCCGATATTCTGGTCAAGGCACGGGAGGGCACGGGAACACAGGCCACCCACCATGCAAGAAGCGTCGGATGGCTAATGCAGGTGTTCTCAGTGCATTCCTTGTATCGAAAAATGGAGTACTTCTATTGGTCAAGCGCCTGATCTTCCTCTGTCCGACCTGCAGGTGACAGGGGCCCGCGGGAAGCTTAGTTGATGCCGGATGAGCTTAACCAACTTCCCCTGAGCCTGCATTCTTCAGAGCGCAGACCCAGGCAACTGGTCGTCAACGTCATGTATCTGAGACCTTGAGGGCGCATTCGTCGGTAAATATGAACAGCTACTCGGGAAAGGTCCAGACTACAGCGATTTCACAAGAGGGCATCTCAAACCTCAACCTGGTCAGCTCGTCCAGCCTTCAAGGGCCTTGCCTGCGCTTCGGTTTCCGCGCGCAGACGTTTGCGGAAGATCGACCACAGCTCGGAACCGGAGGATGGAGGATTGATGCTACCGACTGACCCAGAATCCCCTCTAGCCGCCTTTGTTCACGGTCAGAGAGAAGACTAGCACCTGCGCCACGACTACTAGACAGCACTGCAAAACGAGCCAGTCCGAGCGGTGCATTTCGTGAGAGCTCCATCGGCTTCACGCCAAGTGAGCTGTGGCGGCCGATCATCTCTAGACTGACAGTAGACATTCTGCCACAGAACGGATGACAAGGCTCGAGTGAGCAGCTATCTGAGGGGTTTTGGCCCGCTTGGTTGAATCCTTCACCAATAATTCCCATCACTGTCCCATCCGTCGTCTTGCCCAATCCGGGGTGCGAGACAGCTACGGCGCGCTGGCGTAGACCGCGTCTTGGCTGCGTTTGGAGCTCTCGGCGGTTTACCTCTATGAGCTTGTGCCATTCCGGCGACCGGTTGCTGTTGATGCCGCAGTCTTGGCGTCTCATTCGATGGTCTTTATAAGACCACTTCATCCTCTCTCACAATTAGTCTGCTCCTTTACTCAGCTTTGCTCCTGCTCCTCCACGCCCTATCAGCTGCTTCACCACTTCTCGATAGCACGAGCTTTCTTCGAATCAACCTCAGCTTCGAACCATCACAGCAAACCGGCACGATGAAGTACACCATTATCGTATCTTTCCTCGCTGCCCTTGTGGCTGCCGAGACCATCGATCAGCTTGTTGCGGAGATTCCCACCTGCGCGGTCACTTGCATTCGTGACGGTGCCCAGTCTGTCAACTGCGACATCACAGACTTTGCCTGCTCTTGCGGAAAGGTTGAGCAGCTCACAGCCAAGGTCGTGCCCTGCCTTGCTTCCTCCGGCTGCAGCTCAACAGATCAAGCGAGTATGTGCCCCCGTAAAGCATGAGAAAGACCATTCAGTTTTGAGCAACAGAGCTAACACATCTCCAGCGGTACTCCAGCTCGCCTCTCAGATTTGCGCCCAGGTCGCCGCAGGAGGCACATCGTCCGGCACCGCCTCGGCTGGCTCCGTCACCGCTGCCGCGACTTCGGCCTCCGGCACATCCACTTCCTCCCGCAGCGGCAGCGCAACAGGGGCTGCCGTCACCACTACAACGTCACCAGCCGCCGCTGGCCGGGCCCAGATCGCTGGCTGGGCTGGAGCCATCGCCGCAGCCGCTGCATTCGCTCTCTGAATTCACCCTTCTCACCTACCATTTATGGCTTTGATTTAAGAACATTTTAACTTCATCCCTTGTGATTGATATACTCAATGCAAGAGAAAAGATTGCAGGACTGCGGAGTTTAGCGGGAAAAGAGGAATAGCCAGCACAACTGACGATGGAAGTCTTGTTGTAGTTGTACGCGCATGCATATCTAGTTCTATGAGCTGATTAGTGGCACTGTAAACCCAAAGAAACATTTATATCCCAGATTTAATCATCTACAAGTGCGCCGTTGCCTCCTCTTTATCATCATCTAATGTCAATACCGTCTAAGTCTATTGGGTATCCCGAATCCCACCATCCCCTCGTCTTACCCAAGTCCGAATGTACCCAACGCGCTTCCATCACCGCCATCCGCACCGTCCAGCCATCCATGCAGGTCATCCATGGCAGCAAACTGCGCAGCATACCTCATGCCCTCGCGCCGCCTCTTCTCCACCATCTTCCAATCCCACGCGCCGTCGTCAGCGACATGACTCAAATCAACGCTCTCGTCCCCGACACCGTTCTCGCCGCCCTGCCACCCGCCCTCGGTCGGCCTGTGCGGCAGCAGCTCGCTCGCCTCGAGAGCGACAGCCGGGTGCACCGTCAACCGCCCAATCTTGAAGACGTACTTGCTTACGCCCGTGGCGTAAATCTTCTTCTCCCAGTCCGCGCTGTTGCTGCTGGCGTCGCCGCTGGTATTCCTCCGGACCCGCGCGGTGCCGAATTTCGGATCAAGCCACTCCGTAGGACGCGCAGTGCCCTTGGGGACAAAGTGCGTGACGATGTACAACCACTTGCGGTCCCACGAGAGGATGCGGGACCACATCTCGTAAGGTGCGTACGCGGTGATCTCGCGGCGGAAGGAGCAGTGTACGGCGCCGAGCATGATGCCGAGCGGGCCGCGGGCGGGTTTCTCGGTTTTGGGGTCGAGGACGAGCTTCGTTGTCGCGTTGTGGGTGAGTTGGCGGAAGCCCGGGCGGAGGAGGTAGGTGCAGAGGTGGGTGCGGGAGACGTCGAGGTCGGAGAAGTAGGTCGAGTTGGACTTGTGGATGTTGTAGTCTATCTCGGTGATGGGGGCGTGGGATTGGGAGATCATGGGGCGGAAGAGGGAGCGCGGGCCGAGGCGGGGGGATTTGCGGATGAAGAGGTGGTAGATTATTGCGTGCCATACCCGGTACTGTTTGTGAACGTGTTAGTCTTTTGGCTGTTCTTGTCTTCTGTCTGTAGACAAAAGTGAGGAGGTTCAACGTACGGTCCAGACAAAGGGCATGTTCTTGAGGTTTAGCAGGGCAAAGATGAGCATGAGGATGCGGCTGAATTTGCCCGGGCCGGTGAAGAAGCTGGCGAGGACGATGCGCCAGTGGATCTTGTAGGCGGCGTACGCCAGACCGCTGGCGCCGGCGAGGCGGATGAGGCGGACGACGCGGACGGGGACGCGATCGAAGTCGGCCTCGGTGCGCGAGGCCTTTGCGATTGCGGATGCCATCTTGTGTATCTGTTTGCTGGTGGTGATGTTTCTTCTGCGGCGTGCGGTTAGGAGAACTAGGCGAAGAAGCTCCTTTCAAGGGGCGGACGTCTTCTTATCCGCGGGGCCGGGTGTTTGCCGTCGTCGGGTCGGAGGAGAAGACGGTGAAGATGGGAATATGCGCTGGCGGAGTGCGCCGAGGAGGAGGACGACGAGGACGAAGGCCCAGAGGGGGAGGGAACGGAGGTGGCACCAGAGGGTGGTTGAGCATTGGGCGAGGAGGGAGGTCGCCATGGGTTGGTGATGGGATTTAAATTTGGA